TTTACTTGAATGCTTCCTGCACGAACGAATCCAAAAAGCCGTTTCTTGCTGGCGAAGCAGCTATATATTTCGACAATAGTTTCATTTCGAAGGTCACGTGTTTTTGCGTATGCCATTGGAACAAGCATTTTTTCATATCTAAACTTTTTCCTTTCTATTCATATATAAGCTTCCTTTCAGAATCACCTGAAAGCTGTTTTTCCTGGCGAGCGTTTCCAGTGTTCGTTAGGCGTGGATCTCGCTGTGAAAGCTGAATACAAACCGGTACATAAATACACCGAACAGGTTCGATTTGCTTTTATCCAGTTGTTTATCAAAGAACATCAAGATTTCTCGGACAATCGATATGGGTATCCCAAGCTGGCTACTTATTCATGGTTTTTTATTAGACGCGCTTTTGGATTCTCTAGATGCGCCTTTAGATTCTCATGGAAATAACTCTTTTTTCGTATTAATCATCTTTTAACAGTCAAACACTTTTAGATTATTTACTGTTTTTTTTAATCTAAAAAGATTAAAAAAATTGTGCGGGCTTGATCAAGGAGCGTTGTTTTTCCAGATCTGTCAAAAAATTGACGTCAAGGAACTATATTATTACTTAAATTTTCATCTACACAGGACGTAGCCGAGCTAGATTCTTTTCTTTTGAGCTTATGTTTCGTCTAAAGAATCGAAAAGGAAAAAACGCTTAATGTGTAATGTTTAATGAGTGTAACGTTAGAAAAGGCGTGGCTAAAAATTTTGCCTGAATGAAATGACCGAGCTAGAAAGTTCTTCAATGAAGTGCATCAGGCTAAAAGTTATCCAGGCGTTTTTGTGGCACCAAATACTTAGTAGATTTCACTATAGGTCATACTTAACCTGTAATTAAGAGTAAAAAGTAATGTGTAAGTTGATCAGCTAGTTCGAGAACTGCTTAGGCTTGACTACCTGAAACATTTCTGAATAAAAGTATCTAAAATTAGATCCCACTGATGAAAAATGAGCCGAATATGCAGATTAGTCGGACACAGATGAGTCGTTTGCTGGATTTGCAGGAGTCTTTCGGTACTTTGTTGGCGCGAGCAATATCAACAATACACGAGCAGAAGATCGTTCTCAAAAATCTGAAACCTATAAGTATTCTGATTACCGTAAGAGAGCATATACCGAAAACAACAGACGAGAAAATCAAGGTTCACTCAATTTTCTACGGGGATTCACTATATTTTCAAGAAAACTTTTTAAAAAACTGCGCCAAGAGCAGCGACATACGAATACGAAATGCGGCCACTGCCGTAAGCAAAAAAACTGGTGGAACAAAAGATTCTTCTAGCGTTTATTTTTGCATCGTATAGGTTTTTGTCAGGTGTTCGGCTTGCGGGATATCACCTTGACCTTGAGAGAAAGCAAAGTGCGGCGGGCGAGACATTTTTGTTTGTGTTGACGACAACCGGTGGACGTTGCAAATGGTTACTGCGCAAGAGAGGATGACATCTCGGAAGAGGTGGTTCACACGGAATAAACAATGCGTACCAACTGGAGGTGGGCAGCTTAGGATCGAAGGAGTAGCGCAGCTGCTCCCAACAGTAGTAGAATCCCAGTAACACACACCACTAACACTGAATGCCTCGAGTGGCCTTTGTACTGATAATCAGCATTGATACTTTTTAGATAAGTTTACTTTCTCCGGA